AGGAATTGATGTCAAGTTTAATTAATTAATATAATTGAAGAAATGTTGAACTTATGTCATATGAAGGGTACAACAACTGGCAACAGGGAACATATTTGAACACTTTAATTTAGTCGTTGAAAAGTGTTCAGTATTGATAGAAATAAAATTTATTCAATTACAACTGATGGTGCTCCTGCATTAATTGGTAAAAATAATGGATTTATTACTTTATTCAAAGAATTGGTTGATCATGATTTTGTGCGAGTAAAATTTTTTTTACTGTCAATAATACAGTAGTTTTTTATAATTATATGTGAGGCCAGGACATCACCCCTCCCCTGGATGGGAACTGGCTGTCGAGCTAAAGCCAATAAATCAGTGACTTATTTTGTAAACAGGACTGGTGTATCCGAGGAATGGGGTGCAAGACGATTTAATTGTCGCATTCCAGATCCATTTGACAGATCCTAGATCCTACATTGTGAGAACGGGAGAGGGATCGTCCGCCAGGGTAACTTTGGACAGTCACCTTACAGAGAGTTCAAAGCAGGACCTGCTGACACTCCTGTGGAGGGAGCGGCGGCTGGGACAGTTGTGTCTTCTCCGGGACAGAAAAATACACATTAGGTAAAATTTACGGGTCCGTCATCTGGGGAAGGGCTTGACCCGACTCCGGGGGGACGGCCTGGATGGGGATGTTCGGTGACCCCGCGGCCTGAATCACATCCCTGGAACAAACCAGGGGCCAATAGAATTACAGGGGACCATTATTCAGACCAACCAAAACCTCGGGATTTCGGAAAAAAAGGTTATAAAAGCCCGAGGTCCCAAGGATGCGGAGAGGTTGCAAGCTGGAAATCGAGAACGACCATTCCAGAGACGGGACCCGGATTAACCCAGAGGACCCAAATCTCCAAAAAGAGGACAGAAGGGACTAGGGACTCGACCTCTCAGTGCCAACTTCTCCATCCCTCCAAGTCTCTACCCACGACTTTTGGAAGCGAACTTTTTCTCTCCTTTTTTTCTTATTTGTGTGTCAACCTATATCATCAGAAAACGAACTATCCGGCAAGCTTCTTTTCAGTGACGGCCGCCTTTCGACCAGATGTTTGTGTAACCCATTGTAAGCATGATTTTCCATATAAGTAAATGCAATAAATTTGTAAATACAGTCTCCGTGTGAGTCTTCTCTGTGTCCAGCAAACCACTACCCCCATACATAAAAAGGCTTTCTTGTGTCATACTGACAGATTATGGGCAAAGCAAGAGTTGTAACCTTTAACCTCAAGGTCAACTCCTAAGCGAGTAATGGTCGGAAGACCCACATATATATATTTGTTGTTAAAATTTGATATTCACATTTTGAACTTTTTAAAACCATATATTTAAACAAAGTCAAAGTACCTTTGTGGCCAGCTGAATATACCTAAATTTCTAATTTGGCCCATTAAGGAGAAAGATTGGACAACCCTGATCTAGACATTAGAGAGGTTGCGGCTGACATTTTCAGCCCAAAACATTAACGTTGGACATTGAGTGCTACCATCTGGCAATTCTAGAAGGTTGATAATGGTGTTCACTACATATAGCATGGCGAGTAGAAGTTCAGCTTAAACTTCTTCATTTTTTGTATTTGGGGTTAAAATTATGACATATTTTATTAAAATAATGATTATTTAAGCATTTATGAAAAATATTGTAAAGAAACAGATGATTTTAATCCAGAAATTATTTAATTATTCTATTTTTTTGCAAGTGATGTGAAGTACCTATAGAATTTACATATATTTCTGTTCATAATAGCTTATAGTTCTATAGGAGTATGTTTGTTCTTTCACAGCGTCATCTATCATCAACAGCATAATATGTTTGTAAATTTTCTAAAAATAATTTTATGAGCTGCTTTCAGATTTACATAAGCCACTACTTCCCTCAACAAAAGTATGAGGTAGTCCTATTGTAAGGTAGGAGACATGACGCTAATTAAAAATAATTAATTATTTTATATAATAAAATATAATAAAATAATTAATTGTAAAGTGTTTATAGG